AGTCGGTTGGCATGGTGACTGGTTTCCTGGGATTCTGGTGCATACCAAGCTTCAGACTCTGCACAAAGCCAAGGCTGAAAGGGTGCACATGACCAGGGGCCCTCTCTTCTCCAAAAGGCCACTGGAGTTTCTTGCCCAGGCCAGGCGAGGTGACCCAGAGGGACAGAAGGATGTTTGCAGCCCCATTAGACTGTGGACTGTGAGGACGAGCCCGCTCTGTGCTCTCTTGCCTGGCAGAGCTTGCCCAGAATGAGAGCTGGCAGATGCCGTGGCTCCAGTAACCTGCTCCAGGGTAGGGACAGAGGGACGTCTTGTCCGTAGGAAGCCGCAGGGTATCGGGACCAAGTCAGAGCCATGGGCAGGCTCATTTAGTTCTGGTTCACCTTCCAGTTCCTCCCCGACCCAGCACAGAGTCCCTCCCGAGCCCAGCGGCCAGGGCTCCTGTCCCAGCTTTGCTGGCTGGTGGAGCTTAAATACGAGTACTTTGGAGCAGAAGGACCACCCTCTCTCTCCATAACAAGCTCATTTGTGAATTGCCTCCTTGACCATTTTGCACCTTGGAAACTGGAAAGTTTCCTGGCATGGTCAATTGTGCCTCAGAAGAAGGGTGACAGATGTCTTAGCAGCCTTGCGCTCGCCCCCGCTCCCCACAGCCAATTCCAACAAGGCCTCTGAGGTTAATTGGCCATTTGGGGAAGATGGTTTCCCTGCTTAATCGGGCCCTTTTGATTTTATTCCCTCAGTCAGCTGTTACCTAATTGCAAGTATCAGACTTTATGGTCTCTCTCTCCTACATCAAAAGTCGCATCATCCCCAACAGATTAAGGAAATAAGCGAGGAGTGGAACCGTGCATATGGCATGCTATATTTTCTATTTTTTAAGGTTACATATGGTGCTCATTGATGTGCAGACTCTCTGGAAGAACACAAAAGCTGGGAAGAAGGGCTGCCTCTGAGACAGGAAATTAGGGGATGAGGTCAGGGCACTATCCCTTTCACTGCTTATTCTTCAGCATGGCTCTTGCGTGTAGCCGTGTGCGTATACTGCCTGAGCAAAGAAACAGCATCAGGGAAAACAAAGCAAAACAAACAAAAATGGGCATCTCGGACACAGGTACAATGGTGCCGCCTTGCTGGACTCCTGTGGGCCTCTTTGGTTGCAGAAAGATAACAAAATCCTTGAGGCCCAGCCAGCCCAAGGGGCCTTTGTCACACTAGGACCCCCAAAGACCCCCAGTACTGACTGTGGTGACAAATACAACGCAGCGAATGCTGCAATAAGGGGACGGCGCCCGTGGGGGCCAGGAGCACTTGGGCCAGGCTCTGGGATGGGGCAGGGAACAAGGGTGGGGCCAAAGCCCCAGGGGAGGCAGCTCACATGTGCAGGGCAGAGGGCGACCTGCGGGAGATCACAGGGCTGGGCAGAGACCAGTAGACAGCAAGGCTGGAGATTAATGCCGGATAAGAGAGGCCTTCACGGTGTCCAAAGACCGAGCTCTCTCCGGATGGTGATGGGAGCCCCTGTAGGATTTGTGGGCCAGGGCGGTGGGCCGTGGTCAGAACAGCATTTCAGAGGATGGCGCTGGTGGTTACTGGACTGGCCGAGTCGGAGGAGGATGACCTGGAGGCGGGGAGACCAAGAGGGTCTTCGTGTTTCATCCCTGTGAGGCGCAGTGGTGGCCTGGGGGCCTCACCTCAGACCGGAGGAGGCAGATTAAACAGTTAATTATCCAAATCACGGGGCTGCAGTTGGGGCCTTGGATTTCTGGTCACTGTCCATGGAACAGGATCCCCTCATGAGATCTGAGAGCTGACGTTCTTCCTGCAGCCTCTCTCGGGGCGGGTTGAGCAGGGCCAGTGACAGCAGATGGGCTCCAGCCCAGGACGTGAAGACCATCTTTTTGGACTAGAAAGCCCCTGGTTTCCTTCTGGACAATTCAGGGGAGTTTTCAGCCCAAGAGGGATGATAAAAGACTCTCCTTCTAATTTGGCTTGAGTCAGAATAAATGCAGGTTGGAAAATGAAAGCAGTTGGACCAGTCTTGTTTCCGAGGTGCAGGGAGCAGTTCATACCTGTTAGAGCCATTTTATTTAGAGACGAGAAATGGTTAATAAAACGGCACCTTTGTATCTAGGAGTGTTTGGCCTTTGTTTTCTTCCTTGGCACAGAAGATCTTCTGCTGTTGGTGAAGGCCCTTGTAGACCGTAGTTTAAATTCAACTGGAAAGTGGTCGCTGACATCCAGGGCCTGTAAGGAGAAAAGGAAGGTAGATCTGGGTATCAGGAGAGGCCTGGGAGATGCTTTCATTTCAGTGATGAGCAAATTCAGGAAGAGGAAGGGGAGATGAAATGCGCGAAGTCATCCAACAGAGCACACACTGGTGAGCATCGTCCCTGGATCCGCTCGGGCAAGTCCTCAAATCACAGAATCACAGGCGTAAGACTCAAGGTCCAATGGCCCAGTGTTGTGTCCTCCGTGGGGACCTGCAGGGGTGACGCCAGGACGGCAGCACAGAAAGACAGAATGGCAGCCTTACCTCCTCTTCAGTCAGGGCGTAAGCTTCCTGGAAGTCAAAGATGCCGTTTGACTCGGGAACAACAGAGCTGACGATCTCTTGCCCTCTGAGCACGATCCTGGAGCAAGGGGAGGGAGGAGAGTCGTGTTAATCCACCATGGTGACTTCTGAGATCAAACCAAGGTGGGTTTGAGCAGCCGGCTCTTTTCATGTGGTGCTCAAAGTCCAGACCTGTTTGGGCATGTGATGCTAGAGGACAGTGCCTACGATTACGGGACAGGGTCAGTTCCTGCCACAGCCCCGTGGACACCAGGACAGCGTCTCCCAGTGTGGCAGTGTGGGGAGGTCTCCCTGGTGGCAGAAGAGAAGATTTAACACGACACATGGAAACTGTGCCATGCAACAATGACTTGAATACTGAGAAAGTTGCCCCTTTTCAATTATTTTTCATGGTTCCCAATTCGATTATGGAGGAGTTCTCAGGTAGGTGCTGACTTGTCTCCGATACCTCCCTAAGCTCCCATTTTGACAAAGAGAGAGCAAGCTGTAACCTCCAAGCATTCTGCAAGCAAGGGAATTAAGGCGGAATTTAACACAGTGCAGTTTTCACTGGGCTTTTTTTTTAATTTTAAAAATGTATTAAAATTTCAAAAATTCTATATATGGCAAATGATGCCGTTTTCTTACTTTAGTGTTATAAAGTTTCCTTTAAAGTTAATTTATTTCAGTAAGAAAGTAATGGATTAAAAGAAAAATACAGGGGAAAACCCCTAGTATATGTGCTTTGCAGTGATGACTAAAAATAGGAATGTGGTGGTCGAATGAGTTTTGGAAACAGATTCTACCCCATTGGGTGATGCAGTTAGAGTGTTCATGGTCCCGAGTGACTGACTAAGGAGGGTCCCACAGTCATTCACGACTATCCCCTGGGCTTTCCCCTATTCTGACCTGTGCTTTTGGTTTCCATGTTGGCCACCCCCACCACCATGGTTAACTTTTAACTCAGCCCAAATATTGACTCTTCACATTAGGTCGGAAGCTATTCTCTAAGACACAGAGGGCAAAGAACAATATATTTAAGCCTCCTCTGTTTCTGACTTCTAGGGATGTGCGTCACTCAGTCAGCTGTTCACACTACGTTTTCCCAGGTAGGTCCCGGCCATCTTGCGTGTCCACTAGTGCTCTGCGCGTGGGAGGTGTTCAGTATATATCGGAACACAGCACAAAGACTGGAATTGAGGCCATATTGAAGTGAAAAATTGGAAAATTCCACTACCGGTTTTTCTCCCTTGCATCCTTCCCTGGGCCTCCTCCCCTGCGACCTTTTCCCCCTCCCCCGCAGCTGCCGCCCTCATAAATCACCTGTAGCAATTAGTGTACCAGGCTGTAAAGTAGCTTAGGACTCTGCCCCACTAAAGTTAACCCTGTTGTAACCGTGCCCCTCCCCCTTAAGCAGAGTGTATAAAAGGCTGCAATGCTCTTTGTCTGGTGCTCAGAATTTGGGAGGAAAAATCCCCCTCTGAGCCCACTGGCATGTAAACCTGTTTTGCCAATGTTTCTGTGTGTGTGTCGGTCTGTTACGGTCATCTCTGCCGTAACAATATCGTCTAACTCCATATTTTAAACATCATTTTTATGACTTTTTAAAAACCACAGAAGTTATACATGTTGTTATGGAAAACAGAAAATTCAGAGGATCAAAATAAGAAATCCATCTTTAAAAAAATCACATGTAATCCCACCATCCTTTGGCATACATGTGTACAAAATCAGGGTCCTTTTAGGAAACATTGTTTTTAACCTGTTCTGTCACCTGCCTGATCTATTGCGGACATTTTTCCTTCTGATTAACTGTTCTGCATCATTCTTTTCGATCACACCCCACCCCTCATTCACCAGAGGAGAAGAATGGAGCTGGAGAAGGGACTTGACCTGCCCAAGGTCACACACCGGCATGGGGGCACGGGCAAGGGAGGGAGTCTCCCCAGCTGTGCTGGAAACGCTTCACGTGGGGGGAGGGGCAGCCTGGGTACTCAGTCTGCTGTAACTTCCCACCTTAGGTTTCTGCTTTGCAGAGCCGTGACTTCTGCAAAGGAAACACCAGCCCCAAAAGCCCCAAGAGGAACAAAGGAGGTCACGGGATGGAAATGAAAGGCAGACCTCAAAACTGGAGAAATGAGAACGACTAGCTTCTCCCTCGAAGATGGCCATCTCACGCTTCCTCGCTTTCTCAGGGATAGGCTGAGCTCTGGGAACTGCAGTCACTGGCCACTGGGGGACCAGGCTCCCTGGGGTTTCCTGCCTGTGATCCCTGCTATAGAAGATCACTATCGTTCACACGCCCAGGCACTCCCACCTCCCTCCAGACTGAAGAAGCAAGGGTGAAAGCTGCTTGAAAATCCCCACAGAAACTTTAAAAGTACAAAGGAACACTATTATTTAAATGTATGCATTTGCATTTAGGAGTACCTAGCAAAAGCTTTAAACGTGTAAATACCCTTGAAGCTTTAAACGTGTAAATACCCTTGCATGAACTGGTCTCATTTTCAGGGTTGTGCCCTGAGGAAATCATCAATATTTGCACAAAATGCACTACAAGATGTTCATTTCGGCAGCATTGATAACAGCAAACACTTGGTAATAACCTAATGCCCAGTGACGAGTATCGAGTGAATAAACTGTGGTAAATCCTTATGATGTAAAAACTGACAGCCAATGGATGTATTGAGCACTTACCGTATGCTAGGATTGTGCTGGCAGCTTTACCTACATTATTTCATTTAATCTCACCATATCTCCACGAGTGAGGCACTGCTATAATCTCCATTCTACAGGTGAGGAAATGAAGACACAGAGAGCTTAAGTCTCTTGCTCACAGACACATCAAGTGGTAGAGTAAGAATTTGAACACAGCCCTGTCTGACACCAAAGCCAGTGCTTACCTCTGCTGAGCTACAGCGCTCAGGACCACCACGTGGGTCATGGAGTCCATACGCTGCACAAGGTACCCGGTGGAGGGGCCTGACATTTAGTTGACTCAGATCTCCAAACCTCATGCTTCATCTGCCCCAGGGGGCTGCATTTCCTGGCCACACCAAGCACTGTGCGTGTGGGCTGGCAGCTTCCTGCAGGGGCCCCTACCTGTCATATGCACACTTGGTGCTCTTCTTCACTGTGGTGTCCTGTTGGTCCCCAATCAGCCAAACGAATCTGGTGTCGGTCCTCAAGCGGATGTTCTTCCAGGCCTTCCTGGGGACGTAGCTGCAGCCAGCATTGAAGTCACCCATGAAAATGAAATTCTGAAAGACACAATTTGGCCCCGTCACCTGGTGGGCACTTACAAAAAGCACTGCAGAATGCTTTCACCGGGGACTGCTACCAATGACTCTACCTTCCACTCCAGTAAACAATGGGGTCTGTTATGGGCTGAGTTGCAGGAGTGGGGAGGCAATTCATAGGTCAAAGTCCTAATCTCCTAGCACTTTAGAGTGTGAATGTATTTGGAGATAGGTCTCTAAAGAGGTAATTAAGGTAAAATGAGGTCATATGGGTGGGCTCTAATGCTATATGACTGGTGTCCTTATTTTAAAAAAGGGGAGATTAGGGCACAGAGGGACACAGAGGGAAGAACATGTAAAGACACTGGAAGAAGATGGCCACCTACAAGCCAAGGAGAGAGGCCCCCAGAGGCCCCCAGAAGAAACCAACCCTGCTGACACACCTTGATCTTGGAATTCTAGGCCCAGAACTGTGAGGAAATGACTTTCTATTGTTTAAGCCACCCAATCTTTGCACGGTACTTTGTTATGGCAGCCCTAGCAAGCTAATACAGGGTCTTTCTTAATTTCCTTTTTGCTTTTTAAAACAAAAGGCTACGATTTAAAACTGAGTCACAGTTTTGATGAGTATGAGACAGCAAATGTATACCAGGGAGGGCGTTAAATGGGAAGGAGGATGTTTGCTGTTCTTAGTCACCACATCCCTATAATTCAGCATGCAGAGTTAGGTGGGGATAAAAGAATCCAGCTAATATATTCCCCGATCTTTTGTCTCTGGCTCAAATTACTGTAGGTTTAAACATATGAATGAATCAACACCTTTTGTTTCCAAGCAGGAAAAATGAACTTGGGTGGTGTCTGACAGGCTTGGCACCATGCTTTTTATCCTCTTGTTTTGAAGCTGGAAACTTATTCCTGTGGAAAGTCAGTCTGTTGAGGAAGTCGGAGGAAACTTAAGGAGAGGGGGCCATAGAGTGAGCTGTCCGCCCTCACCCAAGGCCACCATCAGAAACTTTCTATCTTGGAAGTACTTTTCCCTACAGCACTCTTGGAACAGAATTTTAACATTCCATAATACAGAGGAAGTGTCAGATTTCCTTGTTTGCCCTATTGTTTGGGGCCTTTGCTGAGTTAAGAGTTTTCTTCAAGAACATTTTACTTTGACCTTGGCAATCACAGTTTCCCCTGAGATTGATGGGCACAGTTGAGGACAGAATGTCATCCTAAACATGAGTGATCACCAGCTGCTACTGATATAGGCATGACTTGCTGAACATTCATTCCCTATGTTGCAGGCCCAGCATTAAGTGGTTTTTTTGTTTGTTTGTTTTTGAGACAGAGTCTAGCTCTTTCGCCCCAGGTAGAGTGCAGTGGCATGATCATAGCTCACTGCAACCTCAACTTCAGGAGTTCAAGACCAGCCTGAGCAAGTGTGAGACCTGGCTAATTTTTCTATTTTCAGTATAGATGGATCTCGCTCTTGTTCAAGCTGGACTTGAACTCGTGAGCTCAAGCGATCCTCCCACCTCCCAGAGTGCTAGGATTACAGGCATGAGGCACCATGCCCCTGCCCAGCCTAAGTGGTTTTTAAAGTTTAAATTATACCTCACAACAATAAACACTAAGAGGTAGAACAGCCCATTAACTTCTGTAGAAACAGGGCTGAGAAATTAAGTGACCTGTTCTAAGCTACACAGCTGGGAGGTTCAAGTGGTGAAGAACTGCACCCTTGACCTGCCTCACTGAAGGCCTGGCATCTTGTTCTCTGTTGGGCCACCCAGGCCTCACGGCTGACACTCACTAGATGCTCAGTACATTCTAATTGAATGGATGAAGCATTGCATAATTTTTTTATTTTTCTTTTTTATAATTCTTAAAAATACTTTTACCCTATTTTACTTATTTTAAATAATCCTAGCACTCCCAGAGTGCTAGGATTACAGGCGTGAGCCACCGTGCCGGCCAAGGATTTCATGATTTTTAGAATGAATGAATGAATGAATCTATTTACTAATAAGCACTGGAATACACCCCTTGTCTTCTTCATGCCCCAGCTCTGATCAGCTATGTTCCCACCTTACTTGACTCATTTTGCACTTTGAACAGCGGAACTGAGGAGGAGGAAGGGGGATCCCAGGAGTCACGTCCGAAAGGAGAAAAGAGGAATATGGGAGAAGAGCCCTCTGGAGCGCTTCCGTATTTGCCAAGAGCTTTCACAGACTCTCACAGCATTCTTGTCTTCCAAAAGCACAATGATTGAAGCCTACAGGGACAGCAGATGTACGCCCCCTTCCGTGAGAACAGCACCCCAAGTTTCTTTGGAAAACCACCTCTCCCTCCTCCACCTTTGTCCACGAGGTTGGGGTGGAGCTGACACAGATGTAACCAATCAGAGTATCTCAGCCCCCAGTCACAGTGATTGGCTAAGGCATGGACATGTGACCCAATCAGAGCCAATGAGACTCAATACCAGGGCATTTGTTGCATTATGGGAAAGAACGCTTGTCAGTTGGTATGGAGGCCGCTGGTCCCTCCATTCCGAGGGTGGAACCAGCCTGAGAACGGAGCCCACACAGAGGAAAGGAGGGCCAAGAGATGGCAAGGAAGAGAAAAACTGAGCCCTGATTACCTTTTCTGAGCCCTGGATCCAGCTATGCCTGAACTACCCCCGGACATTTTAGTTGCACAAACCAACACATTGCTCCTCCTTTTCATGAGCCATGTTAAGATCATGTTGGTTGCAACAGAAAGACTCCTGACCTCTCTGCCTCACCCTTCTCAATTGTAAGATGGGAATGATAAAAAGCTCTGTAGCTACCTCATGGGATTATTGGCAAGGTTAAATAAGCTTGTCCACGTCAAGCCTCAGCACAGTGCCTGGCACCAGCTGTTCCCTCAGTAAGTGTCCATTACTAATGGTGCAGCATATGAATTCCCACACGGAGGGGACGCAGGCAGATTTGGCAAAAGGATATTTAGGGCTGAGGAAAGGCCCCAAATGAGGCTGTAAGGTGGTGGTGGCCTGCATATGCCCTGACCCCCTCGCCCTCCCTGGAGAGGTGCTCATCCCACTCAAGGACCAGCCGGAGTCTGCCCCTGCTTGGACGGGAATTCGACAAACACACAGGGCATCACCTCTGCCTTCCAACGGTGTTTCACATCCAGGTAGACATCGGCCAGCTCGTCGATCTCTTTGACGGACGTCTCTGGGGTGGTGTGCAGGGGAACAATCACGAAGTCCTTGACAGCTGTGGAACAGGAAAGAGGCGGAGGTCACACACTTCCCCTGTCAAGGTCCCATGAGCACTGCTTAGGGAAACAGGCTCTCCCCTCCAGAAGGCACCAGCTGGGTGGCCAGTTCTCAGAGGGTCCAGCCAGTGGCTGAGATTTTAATGATCGTAGGGTGATTAGGCTGCTTATTTTTAGTACATGAAAGGCTTTTTTCTCCTGCTTGCCTTTCATGCTAAGAGAAAGCTGGTAGACAATGTTCCTCGCTGACATGGTGGGTGCTATTATTTTCTCGGTTTTTTTTTTTTGCAAACTTGTATTTTCTTTTTTTTCCCAGATGTGTTTTTTCTACTTTATTTATTAAAATGAGAAATACAAATTGTATATATAATGCCTATGGTTGTATTTTCTATTTTTAAAATATAATAAGCCTGTTTGGCTTTTGTACTAAGGAAAAAAAATTTTCTTCTAATTAGAAAACAAGGGAGGCTTATCAGTTTATACTTCTTTTGTCATCAGGAATAAAAACTCTGAAAAGTTTTTTAAAAATTTAAATGGTCTTTTGTGAAGTGTCTGGAAACCTTCCCCCACCACTGGGGGACTGAGCGAGCCTCGGGAGCCGTGCCTCACCCACCCGCTCACAGCAGTTCTGGGCACCTCCTCCTGGGATGGGCCCCTCATTCTCTGCCTGGATCCCCGCTCCTCCCTCCTGAGGCAGGGGCTGTGGAGGGGGGTGTCAATGCTCGAGTCCCACAGAGGGGAGCCAGGACTCAGCCCGGCAGCCTGTCTCCAGGGCCTACACCCTGCCGCCAGCTTCATCTCCGGCTCTCCTTCTCAGCCCTCCACTTCACTCCCCATCCTCTTTTGGGGCCCCCTGAACACTCCATCCTCTTTCCCACCTCTGAGCTTTTGTGTTCACTGTGCCCTCCACTTGGAATGCCCTTTCTCCAGTCCTCTGTGTGGCTGCCTCTTCACGTCACAGCCCAATGTCACCCCCAAGTGCCCCCCGCAGGTCACCCTACCTAAGATGGGCACCCCACCCCACTATTCAATGCCCCCTGCTTATTACTTCCTTTATGTTCTGAAATCACTTTCTTCGCTCCTTTGGCCCACTAGAACCTCGGATCCATGAGGGCAGGCTATTGGTCTTATCTACCCTCTTCCTTCCAGTGCCTGGCGCGTTGGAGGCGCTCAGAAATAATTGTCGACTGAATACATGGATGAACGAATGACTGGATAAGTGAATGAATGAAAGAAAAGAGAGATGAATACCTAACTCCTTCATTTTCGATCCTAGATCTAGGGGATGCAGGTTTCCTTGTACAAGGGAGAAAACTCCAAACAGCAGTGCTATCCCAGGGGAGAGAAGGAGGGGCAGGGAAGGGTGGAAGGGTGGAGGCTCGGGATAAACAGGTTTATTTAGCAGTTCACAAAGACTCAGGAATCTCTTTAGGAGGAAATAATTATTCAGGGGGTGGCAGTGGGGAGCTCTCCAAACACTGGCCTGGTCAGCCACATGGAATCGTGCACATGGCAAAGACGATTATACACATGCTCTCTGAAGGGCATTTCCTACCCTCAGTAGCCCCCTCCTCCTTCTCTTTTTCTACTGGGAATTTCCCCACTTTTCTCCCATATTTGTTTTCCTAAAATAATCTGCCCTGGAGCTAATTAATCCTGGGCAGAAATAGTTAACTTCATAGTTCAGGATGTTTACATTGGTGTAGTATAGATATAGGTGTACATACTTAAAACTCTACATACATGTATTTGGTCATGATCTGTCTCCCCTACTACAATATAACTTCACAAGGACAGGGACCTTGTCTGTCTTTTCTGGTGCAGTCAACAGAGCCTGGCACATAGTAGGTACTGAAAAAATATTTGATTCTATGTGGCTGCAATCTGCAAACCAAATTCTTGACTTTTCGTCGAGTGATGCATAGTGTTCAAGAGCATGAGCTCCTGAAGTGGTAGCTTACAACCCTGGCTCATCCACTTCGATAGCTGAGTGGCTCAGACAAGCGACTTCACCTTTTTGAACCTCAGTTTCCTCAAATATAAAGTGGAGATAATCCCAGTTCCTAGGAGGCCGGCCCTTAATCAGGGACCAATACAAGTACTATTGTGACAGTTCAGGGAGAAATCCACTTGGGTTTCCTCTCTCCCTGCAGTCTGTGGAAGAGAATGCTATGTGGCTCCTAGAGGAAGGGTGAGCCTCTAGGCTGGGGGTTCACCTTTGGTGGCCATGACTTAGGATTTTTAAAAATGAATAGTCATACTTGACAGGGACCAAGGAATTATGGTAAATAATGTCGATGAGCCTAAATGTTCCAAAGAGAGTAGAGCTACCATTGATTTCAGAAGGCGTGTTCCAGACCGGGGAGGTCTCCAGTCATGGCATTCTGACAAGGAAGACTGGTGTCATCAAACTAAACTGCATCCTTTACATACAGGTACCAGAAGAAGCAACGCATCATCATCTCCAGCCTAATGCCTCCCTAAAGACGCTGCATAAACCTGAGCTCATGCTCAGGGCTGCTGCCCTTTCATGGGCCACTGGGGAGGTCATGGACAAGAGGGGCCCGTCGTGGGTCTCACCAGTGTGAGGCGAATGGAACCAGACCACAAAGGGCTCCCTGGAAAACACGTCGCCGTCTCCATACTGATTGTCATGGTACAGGTAGCTTTTCTTCACAGACACCAGCTTTTCCCTAGAAAAGAGAAAAGGAAGTCCTCTCGCTGAGTCAGTTGATTTCTTCCAAGAAGCAGAGATGTAGCATGACTTTGTTAGCCTCCAGAGAAGACTCGAGCAGGGGGAAGGTATCTTTTGCCTGAGAACAAGGCTGAGTTAATTCTTCTCAAAAGCCTGGGCCCTTCGGGAGCTCGAGATCTAAGCCATACCATACTAGTCATCTGGGCACCCACAAGTTAATGTCCAGACTTAAAACAAATTACTAGTAGGCACAAGACAAGAACATGAAGTTCAGGAGTCAGTTGTGTCGGCACCTCAGGTTTCCAGCTGTGGGCCAGGACATGACTATGAGGAATAAAGAACTCCTGACCCCGACAACCACTGAGCCAACCAACAAATTAGGTGTTAGGAGGATGCTTGTGTTTTTAGTTTGAAGAGTTAATACTTTGTGTCAGCCCCAGTTTTGATTTGTTTTGATCAACGTTGAGAACTAACTAATTAGAGATCAAAATCTGGTTTTGAAGAAAAGATGAGGCATTTTGATTCAATTCATAATTTATTAGTGGACCATGTTCCAAGGAGCATAGATTATACTTACTTGTAGAGAAAGGCATACTGTTCTTTATATGTTTTTCTTCCAAGCCGAGAGCTAATAACATAGTTGTATGTTATGCCTCTCCTTGAATTTCTAGAAAATATAAAGATTTCACATTGCATCTTAAAGAATACACATTCCCGTAGTATGTTTCCCTCCCTCCAATCTGCCTCCATATACCCAGTGGCCATCACGTGGAAATGAAGTGGAAAATTGAAAAATTCCACTAAAGTGGAATTCTTAGAAAATTCCACTACCGGGTTTTTCTCCCTTGCGATCCTTCCCTGGGCCTCCTCCTCCTCCCCTGCGACCTTCCTCCCCACCCCCCACCCCAGCAGCAGCTGCCCTCATAAATCACCTATAGCAATTAGTGTACCAGGCTATAAAATAGCTTAGGACTCTGCCTCACCAAAGGTAACCCCGTTATAACCATGCCCCTCCCCCTCAAACAAAATACATAAAAGACTACAATACTCTTTGTCTAATGCTCAAAATTAAAAAAAAAAAAATCCCCCTCTGAGCCCGCTGACATATAAATCTGTTTTGCCAATATTTCTATATACATGTCGGTCTATTCCCTGTCATCTCTGCTGTAACAGAAGGACTATTGTTCAGCATAACCTTTGAGTCCAATAAGAAGGGCCACCATTGACTAGAGTATGGCATCTGCCAGGATCTTTACAGACATCATTTCTTGCCTCATGAGGCGAGTATTTCTTTTTACAGTTGTTATTCCCTTTCCTAGTTTGCAAGTGCAAAGCTAGAATCTGAACCCAGGTAGATCCAACTCACCCCAAACCGACATGCTTTGGCCTGTACTTGTGGGAGGCCATTGAGACCACAGAAGACCATTCGGGCCAGAATCAGCCCCAGCCCCTGCTCTGGCCCGTGGCTGGGGCTGCAGCTCATCCCTTCTGGCAGAGTAAACCTCATCATGTCACCCGTCCGTGTCCATGCACCACTCCTGAGCATTCGTCACATGCAGGAACATTCTCTCCTCTGAAAACCACCAGGCATTTTCTCACAAGTCCTGTGACTATGATTTTTTTCCCCAGTATATTCTTTTTGACAGTATTTCTTAGCTCAGCCTCTTATCTGCTTAGTTCATTTCTCTCTCTGTCCTGACTCTTCACCTACCTCCACTATTTTGCTTTATCGTATTAAAACCAGCCAGTTGAAAGTTCTCAGGACTGTGGCTAAGGGAGCTGGAAGCCTGGGCAGCGACGGCCATGTGACCTGGTGGTCAAGTGCAGGCTCTCACTCTACTTTCAGTTCCCCATGGCTTTTTGGATGGCCTTGCACGCGACCTTGAGCCCCCACAGGGCCCCCCTTTGCCCCACTTTACCCGTTCAGCCTTTCCATCAGCATGGGGCAGATCATGTTGTTGCTGTCCTTGATTTCCATCAGAAGGATGATGTCACAGCGTTTGATAATCTGCCGAGAGAGAATTATTCCCAGGGGTTTGGAGCCATTTACCATAAATAATAAAACCTTTCATTGGGCACTTACTGTGTTATGAGTATTGCATTGTGTGCTTGTAAAATAATTTAATTTCTTCACTGTACTAAATGAAGGAATCCCTGAGGTAGGTGCCTTTATTATGCCCATTTTAAAGACAAGGCGCCTGAGGCTCAGGGAAAGTTGAGTAAATTATCCAGTCACCCAGCTAGAAAGTGGCCAAGGCAGAATCTGAACCTTAGCATCCAAGTCCAGAGCCCATGATCCTGATCCCCTCACGTCCTACCTCTTGGCTTTGCTTGAATAACTGCAATAATAATCATAACAATAAATGCTTATTAAGCCTTTAGTAAGCAAAGGTACCAGGATGGAGATTGTAGAAATAATGAGGTGTTATTATAATGATAATAATTATAAGAGCTAACATTTATTGAGAAACTACTCTGAGCCTCACAACAACCTTATGAGATGACTATGATTATCAGCCCATTAAATACAGGCAGAAACCAAACTCAGAGTGGTTGAGTGACTAGCTTAAAATCACACAGCCAGTACAGGTGGTGGAGTCAGGATTTGAACTCAGGACTGTGTGACTATAAATCCTGCCATGCTAAACTGTTAAAATACAGTCCTGGTTCTCAAAGGCTCATAGTTAAGTGAGACAGACAAATGGAAACGACTAGCTATGATGTGAGGCAAATAAATTTTGTGCTAAATAAAAGTCATGAGCTGTGGAAATGTGGAGGAATAATTAATTACTTCTGTCCAGAAGATGAGGGAAGGCTCCAAGGAGGAGGTGATATCTGAACGGGCCCTGCGAGGTGAGAAGGAACTCAGTGGGAAAAGAATACAGGAGAAGCTCCTTCAAGGTGAGCAACAGCCTGGAGACCAGGATGCAGACCAATCCTTGGTGGCCACGGGGACTCTTCTGCGTATGGCATCCTCGTGGGCTCAATGCCACACGATTTGTTGGTCAAGGACAGGGCGTCCCCAGGGTTAATTTTGTCCCCTCACACAGCCACCAAAGACATGGAGCAGGAGGATTATGCCAGTGGCCCTCTACTTCCACAGCACAGGTTCCGATGTTATGGTTCCGTCTTCAGAAGGACGGAGCAGGGAGAGATGCCAGTATCCACACATCCAGGTGCTTCCAGGACTGGTTGCTCAGGCTTTAAGAAGCTGCCCCAGGCGGGAGACCCACGTGTGTAGTGACTAAGGAGCACTATGCCCCAAGTCTGGATCCTTCCACAGCCAGGCTGGAAATCCATGGCATCAGCCACATGAGGCTCACCAGGGAGCTGGGTGCCGCTGGCCAAGCCAACCCTCTTAGTCACTGGTGACTGTCAGACTTTTCTGGAAGGCATTTAAAAACATATATACCCTTTGGCCCAGTTTTCCCACTTTGCAGAATGTCTTCCATCATAAGGAAATATCCGCTACTTCTCTGCACCTCAGTTTCCTCATCTGTTAATTGGGATGATAATATTCAATCCTTCACAGGGTTGCTGTGGGCACTTAGAACAGTGCCAGCCATCTAGGAGGCATGTAATAAATGACTATTACCTGTACAGATCGAAGGAGGAGATTCAGTGCAACAAAAAAATTGGAAACAACCTAGGTATCCCCAAATAGAAAAGTATTCAATGAAGTATGTTGCAAACACAGGATAAGGCGTTATATAGCACTAAAAGTCAAGTTTTAAAAGAATAGTAACATCATGGGTAATATTTCTAACATAAAAGCAGAATACAAAACAATGGCGTCCATGCTGCAAAATAAACGCAGACTTGGTATTTACTTTTGCACAGAAAAACATCCATAAGAAAATTACCTAAATGTCAACAACTGTTATCTTTCAGTGATAGGATAAAGGGGGACTTATTTTTCTTCTTTGTATGTTTCTATATTTTGAAAACAGTCCATAATGACTATTTTTCACTTAATAGAATTGCAGACTTGGTATTTACTTTTGCACAGAAAAACATCCATAAGAAAATTACTTAAATGTCAACAACTGTTATCTTTCGGTGATAGGATAAAGGGG